ACCTTTATTTGACAGCTCCTTGTTTTTTAATTTCAAAAAAATTTATAATTGTTAAAAAATACATTAAAGTCTTCATTTTCCAATCATTTGTTTACGATTGTTAATCTTATTTTGAATATTATTTTTAATTGCTTGTTAAGAAGGGTGAAGTTCGTTATTAGAATAATAACGTAGATATAATAGTGTTATGCTTAAGTTTATTGAACTGTTATTTTTCATTTGAGAATCTAGGTCTTGGCCAAAAGCAATGCCATATGTAAAAACATAATTACATAATTATGTCATAAACGAACACTTCGATGACCTTACTGAATTAATTACTTTAATTTATCAGTTAAGATTAATATGCAAGTTACTTAACATCAACATTCCGAATTATATTATTAATATACATACATTACAATAACCATACATTTGTGCATCCAGTTTTAATCTTAGATATACCTAATACTATAAATTATAAACATCTTAACCATGATCGTTAAATAACATTGAAACAAATATGTTTAATAATAGATAGTCTTAAATTATCACCATTTTACTACTGGCATAAATTTTCGTAGAGAATGTGGCTGAGACATAATAGTAATAATTATACCGCAATGTCAATGGCAAACACTAGTTACTATTTATAGCAAAATTATATTGGCATTTGTTTTTAGATCGCAGGTGGTCATAATATTTCATAAAAATTGGTCTGAGCACATTTTGGTCGGTGCTAATACGACTAACTTCCCATTAGATAATACAGTTATTGTAAAGTACATTCGTTTCTAAAGTTTGAAAAAAACGCGGCACAATAATAAATAACAAACAATGTTTGAGAGTTCGTCATTTTATAAACCCATAAGAAACAGTATTTCGTCTGAGAAAACCGAATTGATAGAGTACTTGCATCAGTCAATTGGTAAATACTATTTTTTATTGTTTATCGATTGTTTATAACAATTCATTTTGTTATAAACAAATTTTTATTATAATATGTTATTATAATATGTTATTCCCTGTCTTGAATAATGATATTTCGTTATTATTGATTCCGTAACTTCATTGTTGTGATTAGATTAGAACGTATTTTAATTAAATTGTTTGTAATTAATTCGTTTTTTTTTTTATAAAAAAAAAACGGCTTGACCGATTTCGTTCAAATTTCTTTCAGATCTTCATTATGATAATATCTTTCGAAAAAATTTTGGTTGAGGGCGATATCTCAATCCGTTCTTGAGATATCGAAAACGAAAAAAATGCTGACATACGAACGTACGTACATACGTACGTACGTACGTACGTACGTACGTACGTACGTACGCACATCATCAAAAAAATTGGCTAGCATGCTACTAATATGTTAAAACGTGGAAATATAATGAAAATTCCGATTTCACTTTTCGACCCAATTACAATAACTTCCTAATGGGAAGTTAAAAAGAAAAACTTTTCACCAACTAGTAATGACGATAGGTGGGTAATCCCTTCGGACTACGCCGGAGGGTAGGACAAAAGGCCCTCTGTAGCCTCCTTTTAGGAATCGAGAGAGTAGGTTTGATGGCTGCGGTGAGAAAAATGAAGACAGAAAAGAGTAATTCAAGGAAACCACAGAAAAACTTGGATGAGGACAGACGAACCCGTAATAGAAGCTCTACGCCATGTCGTTCGGGCATAATCGCATAATATTGTCTCTGAAGCAGCTTATATAGTCCGTTTTCAAGGCCACTTTACCAGCTATTGCGCATGAACTAAAACTGCAACGCATGCGCTTTGCATTTTAACAAAAGAATTCTACAGTTATTAACGGTAAGGACTTCTATCAGTACACCTTATTGGGTTGCTCCTTCCGTATTTTTCTTTTAGATATAAGGGATTGTTCTTGTTTTAGAGGATTGGTGATTGTGACAAGCTTTTCTGAAGGAACCAGTGGTCAGAACTGTATGTTTCCATGCAGATAGTTACAAAAAGAGTCGCACTTAGAAAATACAAAGTGGACGGACTGGAGTCTATCTCGTTTTACGCAACAAGTATTTTACGACCGAGCAATCCAATAAAACGCGTTCTATATCGCACCATTTCGACGTTGATCTCAAGTGTAGTGAGTAAGTAAGGGGTCGGCATTATACACGCACACCAGGACTGCACCGCGGTGTTATTATTATTATTATTATTATTACTATTACTGTGCTCTCTAGCCGGAAGGTTTATTGCAAAAGATCTGCAGATATATTAAATGGAAGATGTGGGTAATAGCAGGGACATGATTCAGTAGACGTTTTACGATCATTTTCCTATCGATATCGTTAACTGTAGTAAATAGTAATATTGTAGGCAATTAAGTAGCAATTTTTATTTTTCTAGTTGCTTTAAAGATAGCAGATTTACACGAGCTCCAATTGCTCGTTTGCTAGGTTACTATTACATATTTTATATATTGAACAAAGTACTAAAATATATAATATACAATTTCTTTAGCGAATGTATCACTTGAAACCTAATAATAAATACATATTTAGCTGTAAATAATTAAATGAATAATAAAGTTGGGGAGGTATCTACTAAAATAAATTGAAATTGTCTTAAATTCCTGATTTTATCTAAAGTTTAAGCTGTTGCTCTTGAATTCTACTATGTCGCAAATTCCCATTTTACACCTTTAGGGGTGATATTTTGAAAACTCCTTTTATAGTGGATCATACCATTGTATAAGGAACATTCGCTCAAAAGTTCGAGCTTCAGTGGTTTTCGGTTGTTACATTTAACTTTAAACCGCTCTCATTCCTTTAGGAGTTGAATTATAAAAAATCCTTTCCTAGTGCTCGCTTGCTTTTTATTATACAAATTGATACGCGTGGGAATGTTAGTAATTGTATGGAAACTAATATTCAATGCCATAAAAATAGATATTTCGTCGCTCCTATTGGAATATTGCTGTAATCTCTGATATGTTTGGCACATTCCCAGTCATATTAAGTAGCTTGAGAGATATACTAAATCCCAAAAATTTCACAAAAATATTCAGCAACCTAAAACGCGTTTTAACACCCAATGTGGCATCCTCAGTTAGAGATTGACAAATTATACCTGATGCGGTGAATGTAGTAATTAATGGATAAATTCAAATAATTTAAATTATTAATAATCATTTAATCCACCAGTTCAAGTGATTAAAAATAATTCATCAACTCAGTAACCGGCGTAAANTATTTAATTGTTTCTTAGTTCCTTGATTTATAAAGTCATATTTTGGGCGAACTATTTGGTTGCTTTATTTAATTGTTTCTTAGTTCCTTGATTTATAAAGTCATATTTTGGGCGAACTATTTGGTTGCTTTATTTAATTGTTTCTTAGTTCCTTGATTTATAAAGTCATATTTTGGGCGAACTATTTGGTTGCTTTATTTAATTGTTTCTTAGTTCCTTGATTTATAAAGTCATATTTTGGGCGAACTATTTGGTTGCTAATAGAGTCTAGCTACAATTTTTTTTTCATTGATATATTTAGTTGGGAACCTATCCATAAAAATTAGTAATATTGAAAGAAAGCATGAAAAACTTTTCATCATTTTTTTGTTTGACGCGGTGCACTTTCTAAATTGTATGCTGAAATTCGTTAAAATTTAAATTAGTCTATTTTGTATTAAAGAATCTAACACATTTGCAAGTTTCATTACAACTAATTAAATAACTTTCGTAGAAAGATTAACTAACAATAAAACCGTTTAATACCAGTAATGTTTCAGAAAATAGACATTTTCTGTATCTATCTATAATTTTAGAAATACATGAACATTATTCTTTCAAGCCTAGAAATCCAACTGCGATAAAAATTCATGCGTTTAGGTATAAACAACCTAAGCCGCATGGGCATAAGTTGTTCAATGGTATAAATTTAATTCTGAGCGTTTCTATATCGCGACATATATGGGAGAATTACATATCGCACCGTCTGCTAATAAATTACGAATTAAAAAAATATATAGGTATAGGTACCTACTTATATAGGTAATTACATCTGCTAGATATTGCCAAGGCTGTGTGTACAAGGTGGGAAGAAGCAATGTACATAAAGCTACATATACTTACAATATATACAAACGCCCATATCTTAACTTTACTACGTTAGACAGGAAAGAATTCGAAGTAAAAGGCTTACGATTAGACATTCGTGTACTCGCACTAAAACATGTCGTACAGGGCCGGACAGTGGCCGCTTAGCGATCACCATCAGAATCAAATGCGGTGGGTCAAGCCGGACAAATAAAATTAAGGGTCAAATCGAAAAAAAAAAGTGAACGTGCTCACGTTATCAAGCACTCGGGTTTCATGTAAGAGGATTTCTTCACTCTTAAGAATTATAAAAACTAGGTTAAGATCGACAGTTAAACAAGATTTGTTAGATGCTTTTGTTTTGATTTCATTTGTGAAGCAATTAATGATATCACTGCTAGTTCTTAAGAATTGTCAATTTCTTTTTATTCCTTGTGTAAGAATTGTGGGGTTGTAGGGCTTAAAAGCCCGTAAATGGGGCTTATAGTTCACAGGATTCTAAACGCTTGGATTATGGGGGGAAGAGGGTTGAATGTAAAGGTTGTAGGTTTTAAAACTTACATTTAAGTTGAGTTCAATGTTTTTGGTTATTATGTTTTCTTATAGTTTTTTGGAGCAGAATTTCTTTTATAGCCACCGAAACCAACATTGGCCAGTCCGGCCCTGATGTCGTACAGACATAATGTACCAATACATTCTGATGTCTACTGCATACGTGTACCTTAAAATCTCGCAATTTATATACAAGGTGCGACTAAACCTTTCGATAGATATGTTAAGAGTAATGCCACCCAGAGATAAACGTCTCGAAAGTAAAGAATGTTATCAAGCCGTGACGTGGGTAGATAGATGCCGTTAGGAGCTATCCCATAGACATTACAAGTACAGTGTAAGAAATGGCTGACTAAAAGTTTCTGGTGAAAACGGAAAAGGAAAATCTATAATTTAAGTCGAGGACATACCTGTCAAACTGCCTACATGGTTCTCACACTTCTTAGGAGATTATGGTGCTTACACTCTCCAGTACCTGTAAGAATGAAAAAATAATATATATTAGAATGTGTTCCTAATGCCTGCATGAAAATAGACAACATTCATTCATTCCTTACAAAGATTTACGATGATTATGATTATTATTATTCTTAATATTAATTGATTGTAAACATACATAAAAAATTAAAAGGAAAGGAAGGAGCCTCGCATTGATAATGCCCACGTATGAAGGGGACGAAACACGTGTCCGCTCAAATAAAATTATTTGTGGTAATTAGGGGTGAGTATTCCTTTTAATTTTTAATTAATATTTACCACAGTCTCCTCTTTCTAATTTTAACGTATAAATAAATGATAAAATTATAGTGTTATATTTTATTATTATTTTATCTATGTAAATAAAATTCCCCCTTATTTAAAATATATGCTTAACTCTCCATAACGAAATTAAAAAACGGAGAACTTTCGTTCCTTGTAAGCAGTTTTCGTAATGTGCTTACTTACAGCACACAAAATAATAAAATGTAATAATCATTTTATAATGTAAATGCTTAAATTTCAAGCAAAATTATAATGATGATGATGACTTGGGACTAAGTCCAAAACGTCTCTCGGCATTACACTTAGCAACTTAGCAACTTATTCGACCATAAATTAGTTTTTTCCTTCATCTGTTTTGCTCATTGTCTAAATGTGACGTACCGTTTCGTTATAGAGATTGGATGTTGCGTTACAAATATTTAAATACTACATGAATAGAATAAGTACAAACAGTCGTAGTGAACTCCATTTGTATAAATTATCTACATATTACCTATTGTAGGATTCAATAGAGTTCAACGAAGCCCTATTCTAATAAGGATAGCAACTTACTGTTGTCAAACTGAACCCATGACGTATATACGTCCACGTGCCAAGCACGTAACCAAATAGAATCAAATGTTCTTGATCAGTATTCTGTCGGAAATAACAGACGTGGTTTTTTGGTTCTAGTCATTATTCTGTTTGACAAATTGATATCCTTATTAGAAAAGAACTCGGTTGCAGATTATTCAATCAAACAATATATAAAAAATCTCTGCAGGTGGCGTTCACCACGCTGTCTGTACTTACTCGTTAAACACGCGGAGTGTTATTGAGAACGAAGTTCGAAATTGCGATCCATGTTGTGGGTTAAGTTTGACAAGCTGCTATCCATATAAGAAAAGAATCCTGTGTTGAACATTTATTGAATCCCTCAATAAGTAGTAAATTTCTACAGATGGCGTTCACTGCGCTGTCTGTACACATTCACTGTACACCGGAGAGCTGATAAGGTTATACGACAACCAACCAATCAATCAAGTTCAAATTATAAAGACTTACTTTTGATTGTAATATAATGCAAATCACATATTAAATGCTTGAATATTCCTTTACAACAACATTTATTAAGGGCTCGAATACACATTTTTGAAGTCCTTTTTATTTCGAAACACTTTTTATAGTGTACGAGAATACGATTTTTTTCTAATAATGGTTAAAAATAAGTATCTATAAGTGCATATGCATAGGTACTAATTGACTAGCCAATGATATTCTACAGAATTTTGTATAAATTTTCATATACTTGGTGTCATTATGGGCATTTCGGTGAAGAATACATACAGAATTCCTATTCATTGAGAAGGCGACGAATAATTGAATCTAACCAAAAAGAACAAGAAAAACAGGTGTTTCTTATTGTTGTGAATGCAATGTGCAATTTCTGTTGAATATGTGGCATATTTTATGCACAACCACATAAATATGCAAGTCATATACTACGATTTAAGTGAAAATGAGCTATAAATATTCATGAAATGGAAACAAAACCAAAACATTCTCAAGTATGTATTACAATACAAATAAACGCTAGGTATATTACACTAGACATTAGAGATGTTTGAGATATAACGACTAAAAGAGAGTTAAGGCTTACATTTAATAATGAAAAATATCTTATTCTCATTTTCGTGCGATTAAAAATCATTGTAATAGATCGATTACATCCACCAGAAGAAATTCTAAAACATGGGCCAATAGGTATTAAGTCCGCAGAAAAATACACTTTGAAATTAAGAAGCACAAAGAAAAGCAGCGTATTCTCCATTATAGAAAAAGAATAAACTATTTCAATATCATTGATAGAAAGTTCTGTTGTAACGTTTCCATTATTGAAAATTTAAATTCTCTAATAGCATCCACTAGGATTTATTAGACTTCACCCTATCATTTGGTGTTCTTGGTATGATACATCTTTTAAATAAGATTAAATAAAATAAACAATGACAGTCTTTTTAATGTTTCAAAGACCCTTTTAATAAACTCTTCAATTGTATCTACAATCATTTAATATGGATCTCCTTAGGAGCTACTCTTGAAAAAGAATAATAGAAAAGCATTTTATTCCTTTACATATGTTTACTAATTGGATTATATTTCAAATCTAGAAACAAATAAAAAGGTCCTACTCCTCCTTTTTTCACAAAGATGGTGTATTACCTAGTTGTGGACGATTTCTAACGGAATAGGTATGTGGAAACTGGGTTAAAATATAAAAGCACCATTAAAAACGGATACCTAAAAGGTTTGGTATAAATCAGATCAGCCTCGTTCCAAAAAGCGATGCGCCAATTATCAGACGTAGGTATAATTCTATCGTTTTGAGTCTGTTTATTTTACAGTTAAAAATAGATAAGTATTTGGATTAATCGGTTGCTTCAACATTAATCGTTCTCAGGATGGACGTGTGGATTTGTTGCGAAATCACATCTCGTTCGAACTAGGAATTCATGAAGCTTCGCCACAACACAATTTATTTCATTTACAAAAACAATCGTCAGCACACACTTGCAAAGCAATCATACATACTTTACAATGAAGTCTTTTATTTTCATACTCAAATTACAATTAGAATTATTACTTGCTTCATTTCTTCTTCATTTATTATCATACATTAATAATAATTTAAATTCGGAAAATGTCAAGCAGAAAATCAGAATAATTAGCAGAAAATCAAAATTCACGTGCCTACCCGACGACTAGGTCAAACATTAAAAAAACGAATGGTAATGTCACGTCTTGGTGTCAGCGAATCGTCTTTTCACCTTTCTTTGAATCAGGTGTGCAGGTGTTTCTCTTTAAAGCAAGTATTACGATTGGAACAGAAACTTCGTGGTTCAAATAATTCCTAGTTTTTAATTTTGCTATCTATGTATTCCCTAATTTTAAGAAAAATCAGGGGTAAACAGAAAATATCCTAGGGTCTCATAAAAAATATAAAAAAAGATACTTTTTTAAAATTGCAGTGGTTATATTTGATCTTTAAATTTTATGACGAAATATGGACCATGCCTCATGTAGTGTGGGGGCCTCATGTGGATAATGAGGGGCAAGCCGATATAGGGATTTCCCCGTAGATTTCTCATGAAAATCCGACCAAAAAAAGTGGTGATACTAAAATGAGGATTGCCTTAAGGGTTTTTCATATGAGTCTTAGGGGGCAAACCTAATACATGTATAAACTTACAATTAACTCTACCTTATGGGGGCTCGATGAGGTAAATCCGTTTGAAAATACTCTCAGTAAATTAAAAAACTTATAAAATATGGTAACAATCCCCTTGCCCAATTATGTCGTTGTTTCAATGAAATCTTTTACATTTGCAACGAACTAAGAAGTGTACTTCCTGATATTGTTATTATAAGACAACTGAAACCAGAAACATCTAGTCGAACAACAGAAAAACGGTTGCAATTTAAAGTATTGTTGACTACAAAACAGCCCAATATCATTTAATCATACTTAAGAGCAAACAAATTTTACAAATAAGTGATATATGTATATATTGTATTTTTTCATTAATAATAAAATTCATTTTTCCAACACTGATTAATGGGTCTTTTGGTTTTTATTGTTGTTTTCAATTTTGAGCTGACAAATTTGTCACGCATCAGGTATACATTCTACATAGCAATTTTAACAGATTTTCACTTAATAGTTGTAGTAGGTATATGACAATTTACACCCCTTCTATCTTCTATCAACAAATTATTTCAAAAGTTACATGTAATTATGAAAACATAAAATGTGAAGACTGTGCAAATTTCTCATTCATTTTGGGGAGGGGGGTTAGAACCCTCAAAACCAGCTCTTGCATTCGCGCCTGTTATAAACCTAATGCAGGTGCACTCTAGTAGCAATATGCAACACGATTGTGATAAATATATTCAAGTACCTACACTATACAGTGCTTAACATCAGATGGCGTTTTGTAGCATTTACTAAGTAAAAATTTTTAAAACGTAACTATTACCTGCATAATTGGCTATTAAAGTAAATTTCATTAAACTAACTTTGAGTTAAAATTAATTGTAGGTATCACACACGTGTGAGTAATAGGCTAGTTAGAGCTAAATTTATTACCAACTAGTTAAAACTAACAATTTGACGGTTAATAAGCAGAAGATAGAGATGACTTATTATTTACGTATAAATGACTGATTAAGTAAGTATCTGTAAAAAAAGGTAGAGCTAATACACGTTTTAGCAATCGTAAGTGATGATTTAGAAAATATTTATTTTTAAACTACAAAATATAATGTATTTTATAATAAAAATATAAATGTACCTAGGCACAAGTGAAGTTTCTAAATGGTTTTCAAAATTATTGAACTTTTTATATGTATTAATGGATGAAATCTAAGAACAAAAATAAGTTTTGAAAAGCACTTTGCGCCATCTGCTAGACAGTAGTAGTAGTAGTTTACCAAAAATGAATTCAGAATTTAAAAGTTTAAATCACTAAAGAAATTGTCCAAATAGAAAGATAAACGCCAGTGTGGAACAAAGCTTCCTTAGTTGGGTGATCTCCAGATTTCAAACTTTATTACTCGTGAAAACCTAATAAAATATCAGATAAAAAAAAATGAGCTTTACTAATAGAAATGAATTTTCCACCAGATAATATTATTTTCTTTTATCTAAACGAAGTCTGTTCCACATAATTGAAA